CCCTTCTGCTGCCTTCAGCTAGCTTCCTGGAAGCACTGTCTTCAAATCCTTGCAAAGAGAAATTTCTAATGATTACTAAACTGATTAATTCAATTCCACCAACACATCTGTTTTGGAAGGACAAGTTTTGTTTATTATATTTTCATCGTAGTGGGCTTGAGGCAGTTTACATGCTTCTCGTCCTGCACTTCTTATCATTCCAGCAACCTTGGAAAGAAAGTCAGGCTGAAAAGAGGTGCTTATCTCAAGATCACATAAATTGTGATCCTTTGGGTAGAGTGGGCGGCATATAAGTTAAATGAATAAATAAATAAATAAATTTGGGATCTCAGTCTTGAGCAGTTCCTGGATCTGTAAATAAATAAATAAATAAATTTGGTCTCTCAGTCTTGACCAGTTCCTGGATCTTCAAGTCCCAGTCCAACTCTCTAACCCAGAGATAGGCAAATTGTTGCCCTTCAGGTGTTTTTGAACTGCCAACATTCATCATCCCACACTGTTGGCTATGCTGGCCAAGAATGATGGGAATTCCAACCCAACAATAACTGGAAGGCTACAGATTGCTATTATGCCAGAATGAATGGTCACCTTTGTGGTGGGCTTTCATGATATTTCAGGAATGCATAGAATTCCTAACCATGGCTTAGCATCTGACCTGGTATCTCCTTTTCACTGCTACCAGTGTGGGATTTCTCCATACGATTTGGAACCCATGTGATGTAGGCGTTCACATGTGGCAATGTAATATAGGAGTCCACCCTAGGATAAGTGCAACCATCCAGAAAACCTCATGCTTTGAATCGGGGGCAGTCCATAGCTTTATTCAGGCATTCAGGAAAGATCTAACCATTCACGTGAAGAAGAGAGGGCTAACCTCACCTCCATCGGCTGCCGTTGTCCACAGTACCTAGTTTACAAGTGGAGGCTTTCCATGTGGTCAGGAATTTGAGATAGTTTAGGATCTCCAATCACCTGGTGAGCCTGCTTTCTTTTCAGATTGCCACTCTCCATATGTGAAGGATAACAAGAGAGGAAACGCTGTTTTACTTTCCCCCTGCATTCAGATAAACCTTTTTTAGGATACCCAAATAGGGCTTTTTAAATCTCATTGACATAAAATAGAGAGCACAATAAGCCCAAGTAATTTCCTTTTGCTAATTAAAAGGTGATGTATCAGTCCAGGTCTGTAATGACTTTCTGAAGCTAATGCATCTGCTACTCATACTTAGAGGGTGCAAGAGCGTTCCATAGCAATGATTTACTAGGATGGATCTGACCACACATCTGTCAGGAATAATAATAATAAAAAAAAACCCTCAGCTATGCCTATCTGCTAGCTTCGGTGAATGTAAGGAGAGTTCTTGTGGATCAGACTAACAACCTATAAGAATGTAAATACATAAAGTCTCAGAATTCTTTCATTAAGGTCTTCATGTTATATAGTTTGAATACCATGTCATAGACGTATTATTTATCATTGTATTTTTTTTTCATTTTTCTTGAAAAAACCCAAGTTTTGGAAAAGAAAAATAGGGAAAAAAAACAGTTTTTCCACATTTTCTCTGTTCTCTCCATCCACCCAGGCCTTCCCATCTCTAGACGTATCTCAGGGTGGAGACAATTTGGTCCTCCAGGTGTTTTGGACTTCTGTTGCTATTGGCCATTTGGGGTCTAGCTGCAAACCAAAATGCCTGATGGTGCCGAAGGTTCCTCACCCCACGCCTTTCAGTTATTGTATTCTGTTCCAGCAGTGGCCACCATTTAACCAGATGCATATGGGAGGATTTGATCACTGATAGATCACCTCTGGTGGTGGCTGAATCTTGCTGGTAATAATTCCAAGGGTTCCAGGTAGTGAGAATGACCAAGAACAGACTTTATTGCAAACAAAAAACCAGATACAACACTGTCCTTAACCCTTCCTGGAGCTTCCTGAAGGGTTGGGTCCCCTGCACTAACCCCTCAGGGAATGTCCTTTCAAGAGGGTCCTCTTATAGGGTCACCGGGGGGGGGGGCTGAGAGTCCTGGTCTGGTTGGATGAGTCCTGAACATGGTCTGAGCCTTTTTATGGATGACTAGTAGAGCTGGGTGGGAAATACTGGTGCCCTCTCCTCTCCTCCTCCTGGAGATTCCTCTGTCTCTTGCAGTGTTGCTTTTGTGACCAGAGCTGCAACTGGGTTGGAGTGGGCTCTCTAGATCCTGTTGGATGACACAGGTGTCAAGATCATGTCAGCGGTGCAGTAGGCTCCACAACCCTGTCCTCTACCCAACAGGTGGGGCCTGTGGACTTCAGCTTGGGGCTCCTCTTCCCAATCATCCTCCACCTCAGTTGAGGCACTGAAAGGGGGATCCCAAGACTTCCCATCCTCTTCACATGTTTCTTCCTCTTCCAGCATCTTGGTGTCTCCCTCCATTTCCCTGAAGGAAGCCTCTGAGTCCTCTTGGTCTTTCTCCTTTCTCCTGGTCTTTGTCTTGCCCTTTCCCCCTCATAGGGGACCTTCATCAGCCAGCTCTTTTGCCAGCCCCTCTCACCCCTCTCCCTTCCCTGTTAGGGTCAGATGGCTGCCCAGGGTTCTGTTAGCAAACCCTTCACAGAGTCCAGCAACCAGGACATGAACTTGAAACCTGCTCATGTTCCCCAGCAACTGTGTGGTACAGATATATGGAATAATCTGTCTTTTTAAAGAAGAAAGAAAGAAACATTTATGTGAATATATTTAAATACTACTCTCAATGTGCCGTCTGGCAAGGGAGAGACTTCAACAGCTGTGTACAGTTGTCAATTTTCTCTGAAACTGTGTATTTAAGTGTAGACTAAATGAATATTTTATCTGAGAATATGGATTTCTAAATGTATTTTAACCTCAAATACACACATTCGTATTTTTTTGTTTTTTTTTTAAATTAAGAATTGCATCACAAAATTTAAAGAGCAAAGTTCACAGGCCGAGGGCACATCAATCCAATCTATTTTTAAAGACTCCCCTTACAGACTCCTCTGGCCAGCACAGCAAGTGGTTACTCTGGAGGAGACATTCTGGAGGCAGTGGTCCAAACAGTAAATTTTCCAAGCTCTGTCGAGTACAAAATCATGAAGCATCCATAATTGAGGTAGACCATTTATCTTGCTCTTGGAGTGTGGTGCGCTTTCCTTCCACTCTATATTACCTTTATTATATAATAACATTTGTTGTTTAGTTGTTAAGTCGTGTCCGACTCTTCGTGACCTCATGGATCAGAGCACGCCAGGCCCTCCTGTCTTCCACTGCCTCCCGGGAGTTGGGTCAGATTCATGTTGGTTGCTTTGCCAACACTGTTCATAATAACATTAGTAACATTAATTTGTTATAGGTCAGACTTGTGATGTGTAGCCTTCATCAGGCAGTGGGGAAGAGGGAAGAGTTGAAAGGAAGAAGAAAGACAAAACTCTTCTTTGCAAGGTGTTTTGCAACAGCAGAGTCACAGAAAACAAAGATCGTTTTCTGCCAGGACAGAGGAAGCATCTATTCTTAGGTTGTCATTGGCTTTCAACTGCCTTGGCCTTTAATCTGTATGTAGAATATGCCGTTACTCTGAAAATGTGTGTGTGTGGCATAGGCTGGGGAAGTAGCAGAAGCTCATTGAGGAGGGAAAAGTCCTTTGCATGTGTTCAGGGCACTCTCTTAGTTATTACTTATATATCTTTTCTACTAAAGGATTCTGTGCCTTGGCTCCACTGACTGATCCTAGTCTTGTCTTTTGTCTTCATATTTCTTCACATGTAAAATGGGTCAGATAACCTGTAAACAGTGTAACTGTGCGTATGTGTGTGTAAGATTTATCTTGCACCTTTTGACCTCTGTTCCATGCATGGGCTCAGTAGATTTAATGTTCACCACATGCTGAGCTGATGTACAGTGGGGTCTTGACTTGAGAACTTAATCCGTATTGGAAGGCGGTTCTCAAGTCAAAAAGTCTGTAAGTCAAGTCTCCATTGACCTACAGTGCATTGAAAACCGATTAATCCCGTAACAGGCCATTTTTGTTCCATTTTGGTTTTTTTCTGGTCTGTAAGTCAAATCTCAGTCTGCAAGTCAAACCTAAATTTTGCGACCAGAGAAGTCTGTAACTCAAAAAGTCTGTAAGTCAAGGGTCCACTGTACCGCAATCAGTAACAGAGCTGGGAAAGCAATATTTCAAATAACAACACTAGCACTTTAGTTTTTGTGTACCAATGCTACCAACATCATTATTTTTTTAAAAGTGATGTAATAACTGATATCACCATTACTTTCCGTGTCTAAGTCGCACTGGCCATGTGACCACGGAAGATTGTTTTCAGACAAAACGCTGGCTCTATGGCTTGGAAACGGGGATGAGCACCACCCCCTAGAGTCGAACACGACTGGACAAAAAATTGTCAAGGGGAACCTTTACCTTTACCTAATGCTTCAGCGGTGTATTAATGATATGTCACCACTGAACGGGACGTGGTGGCGCTGCGGGTTAAATCGCAGAAGCCTCTGTGCTGTAAGGTCTGTAGATCTTCAGCTGTAAGATCGAATCCACGTGATGGAATGAATGCCTGTCACTTGTCCCAGCCCCCGCCAACCTAGCGGTTCAAAAGCATGCAAAATATGACTAGATAATTAGGGACCACCTCGGTGGGAAGGTAACAGCATTCTGTGTCTAAGCCGCGCTGGCCACGTGACCATGGAAGATTGTCTTCAGACAAACGCTGGCTCTATGGCTTGGAATTGGGGATGAGCACCGCCCCCTAGAGTCAAACACGACTGGACAAAAATTGTCAAGGGGCATCTTTACCTTTGCCTTTACCACCACTGAAACAATAAGTAATTAATGACACTTAAAAAAATAACTACAAACTCCCTGTATTAATATTTCTTTCCCTTGTTAAAGAGGTCAGTCTAAGGTCTGAGGGATTATTGAAGACATGCCCTTTGAATCCAGGGTTTCCTGCTGAATGAACAATTTGTTCCCTTTCTCTCTCTCTGTCATAGGCTCCTACCTGATGGTCAACTCTTCTCAGCATGCGCAGGGGCAGAAAGCGCACATCCTCTTCCAGACGCTGAGCGAGAATGACACCCATTGCCTCCAGTTCAGCTACTTCATGTACAGCCGTGATGGACATAGCCCCGGGACATTGAATGTCTATGTGAAAGTGAATGGGGGCCCGCTGGGCAGCGTGGTGTGGAACGTCTCTGGCTCCCATGGGCGGCAGTGGCACCAAGTGGAGCTGGCTGTCAGCATGTTTTGGCCCAATGAATACCAGGTGAGCACACTGGTGTTGCCTTCGGGAGAAAGCTCATGGTGTGTGTGTGGGATGGACTCTCGGCAATGGTGTGGGCTGAAATCAGAAGCGTGTGAGAGAGAAGTCTGTGGGTATAGCTAACAGAAGATAATTACTAGGGGTTAGGAGAGAGAAAAGTGTGTGGGTGGGAGAGGGGAAGGGGTAAAGAGACACAGAGAGTAAGAAAATAAAGCTAGACATTAAGGGGAATGCGTATTCCCTGTGTTGCATTAGCCCATTCACCTGCCATGTAGAACAACATTTCCTCAGAGATACGCACTTCGGCAATCAGACTTTCAAGTTAAGCCTGTTTTTACTTGCCAGTTGCAAAACAAAGCATGCTGAAAGTAAGGCAAATCATGTTAAGATAAAAAAAAAGTTTGTTTTCATCACTTGGACAAACACCACTTTTTTTATAAAAAAAAAGGGAAAATACGTTGTCTGATTTGATCCAGGAACAAGGGAGGCAGGTAGATATCAAAGGCAGAACGCAAACATACGTAGGGCACAGGTGAGCTTCCTTTATGGAGAATGGTTGGTGTTTTCTCTTTGGTGATCTTTCTCGCACTACACAGGGTGTTCTTGGAGATTCAGAACAGTGTTCTGCATATTATTATTCTCTCTGTGGCTATCATTCTGCTATGAGTAGTGTTGCTTTTGTATTTAAAACAATACCACCCATATACTGTACAGGAAGGAGAGATCACACAACCATGAGCTTTGCAAGCGGGAACATACCTTTCCACCATTTTGGTCAGCTAGTCAGACCTTTTTCTAGAGGACTCCATTCCATCACCTGCTCAGTTTTATCCCCTGTGCCACTCCATAGTAGTCAACGTTCCATGTTATTAAGCATTCACTGGGCTGCATTCTGGGAGTTCTCACCTAGGATTCTATTATTTCTTTTTAATATATATAATAATGGAACTCATCCACAAGGAGCCAGGCCTTCTTCATTGTGGCACCACCACTCTGAAACTAGCTCCCAGTGGAGCTGCACCTTGTCGCCCCCCTCCCAAATTTTAAAAGGTGCCTAAAAACAGTGCTCTTCAGAATAGTCTTTCATGGCACCCCTGCCTGATTTTTATGCCTTGTGTGTTGCCTTCTCCTTTGTAACTATGCCTCTTGTAGTTTGTTTATTATTTTATTGTTGTTGTTTATAATTGAATATGCTATAAATTGCCCAGAATAGTGTATTGCACTAATGGGGCAGTATATAAATGAAATGAAACAATCATACCCATACATAAGGTCAGAGGATTAGGTATCTGGCTGCAGAGCCAAAGTTTGGGTGTTCAGTTACCCGCTATGTTCCTGTGAAGTAGGTCCAGTCTGTGAGGCCTTGGGCAAGCTGCACTGTCCCAGGGCACCCCCAGAAGAAGGAAATAGTAAACTACTTATGATTACTCTGTACCTGTAAAACGCTGAAAAGGGTCTCTGTAAGTCAGAACTGATTTGACAACACATGATTATTATAATCTCACCTAGCTGTCTTTCTTCTTTTCTTTGCGGAGTGATCAAATTGGGACACCATACCTTTAAAAGCCATTTTGTTGTTGTTGTTTAGTCGTTTAGTTGTCTCCGACTCTTCGTGACCCCATGGACCAGAGCGCACCAGGCCCTCCTGTCTTCCACTGCCTCTCAGAGTTTGTTCAGATTCATGTTGGTAGCTTCGGTGACACTGCCCAACCATCTTGTCCTCTGTCGTCCACTTCTCCTCCTGCCTTCATACTTTCCTAGCATCAGGGTCGTTTCTAGGGAGTCTTCTCATGAGATGGCCAAAGTATTGGAGCCTCAGCTTCAGGATCTGTCCTTCCAGGGAGCCATAGAAAATAGAAATGCTGGTAGGTGCAGATTAGCTGGAAGGAAGGGAAGAGTAAAAAGCATTCTTGACATTCCAAATTCCCTCTTCTAAACAGCTGTTCAAGGAACAAGCAGCTTCCTGCTACTCTGTCTGTTACTCCTACTTGTCAGAGAAGTAATAGTTGTGGTCTGGGGAAGAGTGTGTGGCTTGCCTCATTGTAATGTGTTTCTTCTTTTATGTTTGAAATTGATTTTACATTGTGAGATGCTTTGTGTTTGCCTTTAGGTGAGGAAAAGCAGACTATTGATCGAATGACAAAGAAATAAAATAATGTATGACACCATATCATACTTGTTTCTTGGAGGAAGGAAGGGATAAAATTGCATTAAAATGGCTTCTACAAACTTGATATCAATCTAGAAGTACTGCTTGTAGAATTTAGAATGTTGTACAAGGAAAGGTGAGCGAAGGGCAAAAGGGAACTGAATCAGCGATCAGGAAAGGCCCCTTTCACATTATTACCAAATATGCCTCAGAGGGTGGTGGGACAGAGAAACAAGAAGTGTAAAAGCTCTACCAGTCTTGTAGAGTTGGCATCACGGCATCCATCAAATAGCATGGGCACAGTTCTTATTTCTGCAGTTTTTCACTGCATTGTTACTATTTAGTATTTTCTGGACTGGATGCTTGTTTTTAATGTTTTCTATTTTATTAACATATGGGATTTTTTTAAAAAAAGTCACTCTGACAGGGCTTTTGTTCTTAAAATAGAAATACAGAAAAATTTGATTCATTTGATCCACATTTTCATATATTCAATACTCAGTTTGTATTTCCTGAGACTGACAATGAAATGCACCCTAGCAGAGAAATCCATGCATTTGAGAGGTGTGTTCCCTTTGTTGGAAACAAATAACTGCACACAAAAAGATGTGCTCCTTTAATTTTTCCCCTTGTATATGAAAAATTCATATATGGGGAAAAAAGCATACCAAAATGTGTATGTTTTAGGTGCAGAAAAGTGCACAAATTTTCATCTTGGAGAAAATTAAACTCTTGCTAGTATGTATCTTAAAATGTATTGTCTATTGTTTTTATTTTGAATTTTTAGTTTCATTACATTGTGTTATGAGTATTACCATCATTTTATCTTGTAAGCTGCCCAGATAGATGGTATAACAAACAAACAAACAGCTTATGGAAGTTGAATAGAAAAAGATTGCCAGTAGGAAGTGTGAAACCTAGCATTGGAAAATGCTTTACAGTTTACTCTGGAATTGACACAGGTAAATGCAAAGTATTTTTCAAGGATCACATGGTGTAAAGATCTATGCAAATCAGCCCATCTCTTTTTCCTTCCAATCCAGACTTTCCCCCCCTTACCTCTGGGCGGTAGTGTCTACTTTTTTCTAACTGCTACACTTTCAATGGTGTTTTGCCTGTATGATCATTTGTTTCATTTTGCAAAAGGACAGGGGTGTGTGTGTGACGTTGGGTGGTTTCCTGCTGATGTAGTAAGTTGGAGTGTGATTTTTGCGAAAGCAGGAACATGCATACCATGATCTTTCTGTTAGTCACCCTGTACTTTTTAAAAAAAACTGCTGCATCTAGTGCAGAATCACTGCATCACTGCATTGCTATATTAGTTTAGCACTAGATCACCTCGCACAGATTAAAAGAAAAAAGAAAGAGTGTTAAAACTGATACTAAATTGGAATAACTCCAACAAACTCCAGAAGGCTATAATGTTGCCATGCCATGTGTGTATGCTTGTACTTGTATGGAGAACTTTGGGAAACTGCCTCCTCTCCACTTTTGTTGTTGTTGTTTAGTCTTTTAGTTGTGTCCAACTCTTCGTGACCCCATGGACCAGAGCACGCCAGGCCCTCCTGTCTTCCACTGCCTCCCAGAGTTTGGTCAAATTCATGTTGGTCGCTTCGACGACACTGTCCAACCATCTCGTCCTCTGTTGTCCCCTTCTCCTCTTGCCTTCACACTTTCCCAACATTAAGGTCTTTTCCACGGAGTCTTCTATTCTCATGAGAGGGCCAAAGTATTGGAGCCTCAGCTTCAGGATCTGTCCTTCCAGGGAGCACTCAGGGTTGATTTCCTTCAGAATGGATAGGTTTGTTCTCCTTGCAGTCCAGGGGACTCTCAAGAGCTTCCTCCAACACCACAATTCAAAAGCATCAAGTCTTCGGCGGTCGGCCTTCTTTATGGTCCAGCTCTCACTTCCGTACATCATTACAGGAAAAACCATAGCTTTGACTATGTGTACTTTTTCCCTACCACTGTGTAATCCTTTAACAATCCCAGCAGTGTGCCAGTTGACTTCACCTCACATGCTCAGAGAGATCTTTGTATGAGAATGAGCTGATAAATGTGTATATCTCATTATTCCTCAGGTTCTGTTTGAGGCAGTGATCTCCAATGAACGCCGAGGGTACCTCGGATTGGATGACATTCTGCTCTTAAATTATCCCTGCTGTAAGTATTACTGCATGGTACTCTGCACACTGTTTCCATGCTGGCTTCTAAAAGTAATTCAAAATGGAAGGTCTCAGCTACATTTATGGACCCATGGTTTGGTTGCATATAAAACAGCTTCTTGTATTATTTTGCAAATATGATTTTAGTCTATCTCACAGTGTAAAAATACATAGTAGGAATAGGGCTGTTGACTTCCGTCATTATTTTCTCCACATAGACAAAACTGTGCTTCTTCAATCGTTTGAACATTGGGATCCCCAATTCCTCCCCTAATTCCTTAAAGTCCCCAGGATCAAAATCATGTGTGTAGCACCATGGTGCCTGGTTATCTCCTCTGTAAGGCTCAGATCACATAACAATCAGATGCTTCTGACTGTGATTCAACTACATAACTTATTCATACCAACTCTCTCCATTTTTAATGGTTAAGGGTTGCTGCTTTAGTCCCCTTGTCTTCTTAATTAGCAAGCTGGTAGGATTGTTAGATAGATAACTGCTTTATTGAGTCCAGCTTCAGACCAATATTGCTTCATGATAGCCTTCCTTTCTTTTTGCTCCGTTTTTTAAAAAAATCAGTGTGATAATATTGGCCAGGATATTGTGCTTTTCCTAAACGCTCAAAACATTCTGTATATTCTGTCACAGGGCTAATCAGTTAAACTTCCACCTCAGCATTTGGAAGAGACAAAGAAAGAGGAGTACCTGAAACTAAATGGTAGTGTTTTTCTGAGGGGCAGGATGTTTTTGCTAAAGATTTATAAATAGCAGGCATAGCAGGGTCATGCCATTGTCAGTAAGTCTCATGGCCTAAATCAGGTGATGCTGGCAATAGAACTAGGGTTTTGGGTCCCACCCAAAGATTTATAAATAGCAGGCATAGCAGGGCCATGCCATTGTCAGTAAGTCTCTTGGCCTAAATCAGTTGTGATGCTGGCAATAGTACTAGGGTTTTGGGTCCCACTTGCAGCCCTTACAGTTGCTCAGAAACAAGCTCCAGAGGGTTTGCAGCTCTACGGAGGTGTTTAGAGTGTTTGGGAAGCTGAAACAGTAAGAGAGGGATTGACGTTGTGATGGGATTTTGTGGACTACAAATACTTTCATGTCGGGAGTTCTATCGATTTTATAGACAGTTCAACAAAAATAAAATGTGATGCAACTAGGGGAATGTTCTAAATTGGAAGACTTCTGAGGTGCAGTTAGGTCAGGATCCAGGGACGTGGTGGCGCTGCGGGCTAAACTGCAGAAGCCTGTGCTGCAGGGTCAGAAGACCAGCAGTTGTAAGATCGAATCCACGCAACGGAGTGAGCTCCCGTCGCTTTGTCCCAGCTCCTCGCCAAACTAGCAGTCTGAAAGCATGCAAATGCGAGTAGATAAATAGGGACCACCTCGGTGGGAAGCTAAAACGGCGTTCCCTGGTCACGCTGGCCATGTGGCAACGGAAAACTGTCTTTGGACAAGCGCTGGCTCTACGGCTTGAAAACGGGATGAGCCCCACCCCCTAGAGTCGGACACGACTGGACTAAAAATGTCAAGGGGAACCTTTACCTAGGTCAGGATCCACCCAAGCTTTCTGTTTCATGCCCCAGTACTAGCTGGGAACGTTCTTTCTGAAGCTTAGGCAGAACTAGGCTTCGCTTGGCTTCAGAGCCTTCTCAATTAGGCCTTTATCTCAGGTACATCCATGGATGGGGACTCGAGTTGTGGGATTTGCTGTCAGCTTGGACTTAATTCGTACTGGTGACGCAACTCGAGTATTTTTAATGACTTGGACTTAACTCACAACTCAGAAGCCAGCCACCCCTTCCCTTTGTTCTGGAGAGAAAAGCTTGTTTTTAATAGGGACCTGGGCTTGATACCAAAACTTGGACTTGGGACTCAAACCCAAAGATCTGCCAGCATTCCTGGGTAAATCACATTTCGTAGGTATTGGCAAGGTGTAGTATAGTGTATAGTGTGGTGCACTAAGACTCTGGAGAGCAGGATTTGAGCCTCCACTTGGCCATGGAAAACTCATTGGGGGGAGTGAAACTGATAAAACGACTCTTTAATTTGTCTCACTTACCTTGAAAACCCCATTACAAGTCCTACAAGTGAGTTCTGACCTGACAGCACAGAAGACGCACAAGGTGTCTGTAAGCTAGGTAAATCTCCAAGAATGGAGAATTATAGTGTTTGTAGTCCAGAAAATCCAAAACTCTCATCCTTCCAGCTTGTGCACAGCAGTGGATTCTGCTTTTGCACAAGTACTGGGTATCGTCTTTTGGCTACTCCTTTTTTGACTTCTCAATAGCAGCAGTGGAAGTCCTTTTAATCATCTTGACCACTTGCCCATCCTATTCCCTCTCCAGAACATTCTAGGGGAAAGAGCTGCCACAGTCAGTGATACTCTCACATTCTTTCCTGAAAAGTTTCAGTGTGCTGCCATTTCCAAAATGCTCACTGTCATTTTCCTAACCTATGTATGAAATGAATTTGAAGGGATATTTCTTCAAAGGTCTACAGTACAATAGGCCAGAATTCTGATGCCAGTATTTTGAGTTTTAAGTACTCAGCTTACAAGAATAAGAAACTGTAGCATTTCAGGATGTATGTATATATATTTCCTCTTTCCATATTTTGGCAGCAAAAGCCCCACATTTTTCCAGGCTGGGTGATGTGGAGGTGAATGCTGGACAGAATGCCACCTTTCAGTGTGTGGCTGCGGGCAAGGCTTCTGAGACAGAGAGGTTCCTCATGCAGGTACGTGGGGGTTGCTATGTTTATTTGTCATGCACAATAGACAATTTCTCTGTCCTATTAGTTTGTGAGTCACACGTTCAGCTGATTCCCCCCCCAACATAAAATTTATTGCAAGAATGGTGACATAAACATGGAATACATGTAGTGTAGCAAGCAGATGGGAACCAGAAATATTAGAGTGGACTTTCCCTCTTGATGTTTATTACCAGCAGCCTTATCTCTTTAGAGTACAGGCTGACCATCTTCCAGCTAGAAAGTGATAACTGTAGAGTGCTTAAAACGTCTTCCATACACATTGTGAAGCCTAAAAAAATCTGTTTAGGCATATGGAATTTGGGAGACGTTCTTTGTGTGTGAGTAAAACACATGTTTCAGTTCTTCTTGCCTAGACACTTTTATTCTATGGTTAAAATCCTGTTGTTTAACATAGTAAATTGTAATTAGAGTAGGCCTGTGGAGGAATTGACTCACTAGTTCCCCACTGATTCAGTGACTCTCCTTCAGATGCAACTCACTACTCTAAACAACAGGATTCCAACCTATATTTAATTTGTTCTGTTGCATGGTCAAAAAACTCATTGTAGTGTTTATTAGATAATTTATGTTTTTTATTTTTATTTTTTTGGGAGGGGATTTCAGACACAGGGCAAGATGGGTACAAAAGTTGCAAAATGAAAGCAGGTCCAAAGAGTTGACTCAAGCAAAAGAGAAAAGGAGCATGTTTTAAAATGACTTCCCAACTCTCTTGCCTTCACCTTCATTGCAATATACCCTATGTTTAAGTGATAATCTGGCGGAGTCTGAGGAATGAATGAAGATATTTATCCCCTTAGAATGAAGGCAGCAGGCTTTGTCCTCACTCTTGTCTGGCTTTGTTAGCAGCTGTGTAGCCAGTTGTGAGAGACTGTGCAGTGTCTGACATCAGCACGCTGGATGCCTAATTTCTGAATGTAGCCACAGAGAACAATAACTCTGTTTTTAAAAAATGTGCGTGTGGGGCAGTATATAAGCAGCACGCTTTGCTTTGCTTTGCTTTGTATGCAAACCTGCGAAGCAAACAAGCTGTAAGGAAAAAATTCCAAAAAAGAGAGAGAGAGAGAAGAAGAAGAAGAAGAAGAAGAAGAAGAAGAAGAAGAAGAAGATAAATTTACGATTCTGGGGATATATTCTGGTATACTTTTTTAAACCCCCATTTTTGTCCATGAAAATGTACGTAGCTTGATCTTGATTCACGTCTGCATCTCCTGTGCAACCATGAATAGCATTGGGATCTTAGCTGGAAAGCTTGAAAAGCAAGGGGGAAGAAAAGGAAAGTGGTATGTTGAAACACTAACTTCCCAGAAGGCACAAAAGAACGCAATAACTTCTTTCTAACAGGGCTCTCTATTGTTTTGCTTTCTGGGTGGTAGAGGCAGAATGGAGAGATTGTCCCAGCCGCCTCAGTGAAACATATCAGCCACAGGAGATTCCTGGCTTCTTTTCAACTGGACAAAGTTTCTAAAGGAGACCAGGACTTCTACCGTTGTGTCACCCACTCCGGGAGGGGCTCTGGTGTTTCCAACTTCGCGGAGCTGATTGTGAAAGGTATGGCTCAGTGGGTGCGGTAGTTGAATTTAACTTATACTGGGAAAGATTGTAACGTATACCGGAAGACAAAGATGCCGTACCTCTGCTCATACCTCTGTACAAAAGCCAATGGGGCTGGCGGTCAGATTTTTATTCAGTACTGGGAATGGAATGGCATCTTCTCCACCACACCTGAAGAGAGCAGGTTAGCTTAGGCTGCTTACCAGGACAGGTAGCTTAGCAAATACAGGTAATGATCTCCTTCAGGGCTTTAATGCCATTCCCCCCCTCCCAACAAGCCTTTGCAGGGGCAGGGCCACTGGTAGGGTAGGGCCACCCTCTGAGAAGAGAACAGAGCTAGAAAGGTAAGGCCTGACAATGCTATTGTATCCAACTGACTAGTAGATGCTGCTTTTCCATGTCACTGACCTATAGCACAGAGAAAGATGCCACCTGTCAGGGATGCTTTAGCCGCGGATTTCCTGCTTTGGCAGGGGATTGGACTCGATGGCCCTTGGGATTTCTTCCAGCTCTACAGTTCTGTGGCTCTGTGCTTTAAGTCTGGGAACAGACAGGCATGAAGATTGGGAGTCATGCCTCCTGCTTTACACATGGCACTGAAACCCTTGTGAGTGCTCTGTAATGGATAGATTTTGCAACTCGATGAGCATACACAATTGAAGTTCGGGGACCACTGGCAGGGCTGATGCTTTCCTTGCACATCACTGTGTTCATTCCTTTTGGCAGATGTAGTTGGCGGTTACTTATTTATGAGGAAACAAGAGCAGGAGCCTTAAGTATCTTATCTGCACTGTGACGTTACTGAGCTTTTTGGGTGAGGGAGCATGAAGTAGTACGCGAAGGGAGCTTTGCTGCCTCTGCTTTGTGCTTTAATGCAGAAATGGGATAGAAAAAATGTATGAGTGAACATATGCAAAATTACAAATCAGATAGAGGCTGACTTCCATGTCCATGTTAGCTGGTCTCCCAAAGCAGTGGACATATCAATTTTTCTCATGTTTACTAGTAGACCATTTCTTTACATACTTACCTGGAAGTAAATCCCATTGAACTCAGCAGGAACCCCTGAACTATAGAATTCTCATTGAACTACTGAACATTCTTGTTATACAGGGGTAGTCTTGCTGAATGGCAGTACCCTCCAGCCTTAGCCAATATAGCCAGTGGGGGAGATATTGGAAGTTGCAGTTGAATAACCTTTGGAAGGCCACACTTTTCCCGTCTCTGGTTTAGAATAGGCCAGGGGGCCTGGAGGGGAGAAACAGAATCATGTGATTCCTTAAAGAATTAGCACGTTTTGTTGGGCATTAGCTTTGTGGCTTGCAACCCACTGATCAGTTGCAAGTGTGGAAAGACAGCCAAATTTTCAGAGGAGAATCTCCAGCATGGCCAGAATCCTATTAATATGTCTTTGGCTAAGTCTCAGTGGCAAATTGTTGATTACTGGTTGCATTCCTGGACATGTGCTGCAATTTCCCTTATGGAACTATAAATCAGTAATAGGATTCTGGCCACTCTGCATTTCCTCTGCATAGGGATCTGTATATCTGCATGCAAATTCCTTGATCTCAGATTAAATTTGCTCACAGATTACATATCTCAGAAGCTTTATACTGCGTTTCCACTTTTAAGCCCATACAAGATGGTTATAGAGTTCAAGAGGTTTATTTTTTATAAAGGAAAAAAATCAGGAAAAGCCCATGTGGTCCCCAAAACAATACAAATTCAGGAACAGGTAATAAATACCTATAGTGGTCCGGTAAATGTTTATGCATTGGTATTTTTTGAAAGAGTAAACATAGCCTTGTCACTAAAATATGCTCAAAAATTACAAATGAAGAAACTGTAATGCTATTTATATTAGCACTATGTTTTTATCATATGCTTCCTCCACTGTATATGGTTCTCTAGTGCCCTTCTTCATTCTCACAACCAACTTATTGTCAGACGTTAGGCTGAGTGTAACTAGTTGAGTGGGGACTTGGAACTTCTGAATCTCAGTTTGACACTCTGTCCACTACACCAAATTAGCTTTGACCAACAAAACTAGCATGTTAGATATGATGGTTGGTGGTTTTGGACCAGCAGAAACCCAAAGGGGTTAAGAGGGATGACTTGTAGACAAAGGACCTTTTCGGCAGCTGCCCCCAGACTATAGAACGAACTCGTTAGGGAGATTCGTCTGGCGCTGACATTGATGACATTTCGGCACCAGGTCAAAACCTTCCTGTTCCAGAAGGTTTTTAATTGAAATAATATCAACTGTGGGCCCTGATGACATTGGCATTGTCTTTTTAATTGTATTTTGTTTTATCTTTTTATTGCATCATATTGTTGTAAGCTGCCCTTTGGGTAGTGTGGGCGTCATATAAGTTGAATGAATGAATGAATGAATGAATGAATGGATCATTCATTCGTTTGTTTGTTTGTTTATATATGCATGGTGGGGAGTCTTATGAGTCCATCTAGTTCCTGTTGAGGCTTTTGCCATAAAGATAGTTGCACTTCTTACCTCATCTGGCTGAGGGATTATCCTTTGACCTGGACAACCAACAGGTCTTTTATAGCAGAGCCTCCATATGTTGCAAATGGCAGAGAGGAATGGAAGACGTTAGCTCCCTGCCCTCTGGAAATAAAGAGAGGGGGAAATTTTTTCATGCTGAGTGACACAAACTCTTTATCTGAGCAGGTAAGCATGCTATCACCCGGATTGGACAAGTGACCTTTAGAATGATAGGTTTGTAAGTTCAGGATGTGAAGTGCAGCTTCTTTCCATGCTCATGGCTCCCACTAAGCTAGTGAAATGATATTGGTGAACTGATATACAAGTGTATTTTATACAGCAAATTTTCCATCCACCACAAGAGATGCCCACTGTCTTGTTATTCGACTGGAAACTTAACATCACTTATCTGTAAATCCATCACCTTCCTGGATCAGGGGATTTGCATGGTTTTCTTCATGATGACCAGCTAAAGTTGATGAGGAAGTCCACTAACACATCTCTTTCCTTCTGAACAGAACCACCCACCCCCATTGCACCCCCACAACTGCTGAGAGCAGGCTCAACATACCTGATCATCCAGCTCAACACCAATTCCATCATCGGAGACGGTCCTATTGTAAGGAAAGAAATTGAGTACCGAATGACCTCGGGGCCGTGGTCAGAAGTGCACGCCGTGAACATGCAGACCTACAAGTTGTGGCACCTGGATCCAGACACAGAATATGAGATCAGTGTCTTGCTCACCCGTCCAGGAGATGGAGGGACTGGAAAACCTGGGCCTCCTCTCATCAGCAGAACAAAATGTGCAGGTAGGCATTTTCACTACCATCATTTGGTGGTGAACCTGTTTGCATCTGAGTGCCCAAACTGGAAAAGAAAACACCAGCAGTTAGAGAGCCACAGTGGCGGTGGAGCTGGAAGTGGCGGTGGATGGGGAATCCCGGGCACGGAGATGCCTTGAGACCCCACTCCAGATCCGCTGCCAGCACCAGCTGCCTGAGATTCTGTCCCACCACCTATTGAAGTGCTAGCACTGTGAATGCAGCTGCCCCCTGAGGTTTGGCTGCTGGGGGCGGTGGTGTAGTAACGATCTGGCAACTTACGGCTTGCGTGCCCGCAGAAAAGGGCTCTGCATGCCAGCTGTGGCACTCGTGCTATCAGTTTGCCATTGCTGCTTTAGAGAGTGTAGGAAAAGCTGCTCTTGAGACTTTTCCAGATGTGTCTATGAGGGAACAGTGATAGCTTACCTACCGCAGGGGTGGGGAATGTGTGACTCCTTAGCTGATGATGAATTGCAGTTCCCATCATGCATTTTTTTAAAAAAATATTTTTGGTTTTTTGCATGTTTAAGATAACAATATAAACTTCGTTGTCGTTTAGTTGTTTAGTTGTGTCCAACTCTTCGTGACCCCACGGACCAGAGCACGCCAGGCCCTCCTGTCTTCTACTGCCTCCTGGAGTTGGGTCAGATTCATGTTGGTTGCTTCTATGACACTGTCCAACCATTTCGTCCTCTGTCGTCCCCTTCTCCTCTTGCCGTCACACTTTCCCAACATTAAGGTCTTTTCCAGGGAGTCTTCTATTCTCATGAGAGGGCCAAAGTATTGGAGCCTCAGCTTCAGGATCTGTCCTTCCAGGGAGCACTCAGGGTTGAGTTCCTGCAAAATGGATAGGTTTGTTCTCCTTGCAGTCCAGGGGACTCTCAAGAGCCTCCTCAAACAAAAACAATTCAAAAGCATCAATTCTTCGGCGGTCAGCCTTCCTTATGGTCCAGCTCTCACTTCCATACAGGAAAAACCATAGCTTTGACGATTTGGACTTTTGTTGGCAAGGTGATATCTCTGCTTTTTAAGATGCTGTCAAGGTTTGTCATCGCTTTCCTCCCAAGAAGCAGGCATCTTTTAATTTTGTGGCTGCTGTCTCCATCTGCAGTGATTATGGAGCCCAAGAAAGTAAAATCTGTCACTGCCTTAAATTACACTGAAAAGTAAAAAAGAGTTTAAAATGAGGAAAACGGAACCAAAAGAACAGAACAATATAAACTTAAATTACACTAAAAAGTAAAAAAAGAGTTTAAAATGAGCAAAACGGAACCAAAAGAACAGAACAAAAGAAACAGACAGACAAAAGGTCAATACAATACAAAATAGTATGGCAATATATACGTTCACAATAAACGATCTTATGCATTTACAATGAGTCAGTGAAGGGCTTCCATAGATCTACACAGATATCCTCGCAGAGTTGCTTTCTGTATGATATTCGTTCAAATGAGGCTAATTGTTGCAGATCTTCCGACCATTGTGTGAAGGGTGGAGGATGATAATCTTTCCAGGCTTTTAATATAAGTCTTTTTGCCACCACGACTGCTCTCAGAATCCAATTTCGTTGACCCTTTGTTAGACCCCATATAGCGGGAATATAATTTAAAAGAATGTGAATATCATGAAATATCATAGATTTTCCCAAAACTACATTAATACAAGTAAGAACTTCTACCCAAAATAAGTGTATTACCAGACATGTCCAAACCATAAGTATTAAGGATGTGTTTCTACTGTTGCATCTCCAGCATCTATCAGAATTTATCATTTTCTTCCTAAATAACCGTTGTGGGGTCCAATATATTCTGAATACTGTATTATTTTTCGTTGGATTAATCTCAATTTCAAATCCAGGGAAACATCTTTTATCAATTCTAGTAAAGTCTCCCATTTCTTAGCTTGTATTTTACTTTCCAATTCCCTGTTCCATATTGATTCACTAATATGGCTCAGTCTTGAGAAAAATGGGAGATACACTTTGCTGAAGACCCGAGAAAGCTCTTTGAGTGCCCTTAGACTGTCTAAATAGGGTGCCCTTACCAAGTTCTTTCGCATACATTTTCAGCACTTCTAATTTGATGCTGAAATCATAGAATCAGCAATCGGCAAAGCTGTCAGCTTAAGGAAGAGAAAGTCAGGACCGCAGCATTATTTTAGTTGCTTGTGGCTTTAACCTTAAGAGGCGCAAAAAGCCAGAGGCAATAGTGGATTGCACAGTGATCTGAGCAGGCATTGTACATCCGAATGTCTGTCTCCATGGAAAGAATCCAAGACTGCTTCGGCATTGTACACTAACCCAGGGATCACTAAAAAGCCTAAGGCGTCTCAGAAAAATGATGAAATTTAATAAATATGGTTAATGGACCTTTAAATTAGGGAAGGAATATATACACCAGTGGTGGAGTACAAGGGTTGCATGCAGAGTTTCCTTCGTGCAGAAGTGTGGGTTTGGTTCTCGGCACCTCCAGTCAGCACCTCCAGGCAACAGCAAACAGCCTTGTTCCTAAAACAAAACAAAACAAACAAACCAGAAAGTTCCTGCCATTCAGGAGAGCCAGCATGATATAGTAGATGGAGAGATAGTATAAGAATGCTGAGTTTAAGTGGTTACTAATTAATTTATTAATTTGCTATTAAAGTTTTTACTGCCTGTGATGAGAAGAAGTGCTTATGGGGTTTTCTGCCTGATGTACCAAAATACTTTGCTGGCTTTGGGTACTCAGCAGCTTGATTGGATACTATTTGTTGCATCTCCTCAGGTAGCAAGAGTTCTTGGGTTGGCCCTGGGATTAGGATGAGGAAGAGAATAAAGGCTTTAAGCCCGTCCTGCAAATGGGCTCTTCACTAAGGAGTGGGTGAGCAACACAGCACACAGTCCCCTTGGTGGCTCTGGGGGTTGCAGGGAAGACTCTGGCTATATACTGCAGAGCTATGGTTCGCTAATACAGCTCAGTCTGGAGAGGAACGGGTGATAGACTTTTTTGAAGACCCAAGAAAAGCTTGTCCAGTGTCCTTAGAGTGTCTAAACTGGGTGATGTTACCAAGTTCCTTAAGTCCTTGGCTGCCTCCAAGGTGGATGTGTTTACTGACTCTGCTGCTTTCAATTAGCCAAGCACTAATGACCAGCTTGAGACCTCAAAGGGAAGAAAGCAAATCCATTCCAGAGAAATGCCTCTTTCTGACAAAAGAGCCAGCTCTTGTGATCCAGATTTATGGTTTTGCGCACCAACAGGGGCCACGTTAAACTGACAAATGATCATTGCTTGAGCAACTGAGGAAAGGAACAGTCACAGCTTGTTGGCAGCAGGCGGATTAATAAAAGGCCAGGGACAATGTGGTTTAGCAGCCGTTGACGCCCGTAGACTATAACTCACAGCTGGGAATGCTCATGCTTAAATCTGGGAGGGGACGTGGAGGACAGTTATGGCTGCTCTAATTCCTCATTGTTATGAAATATTAAGAAGAAATGCGAAAATTTGATAAAAAGAGCAGAGGCGAGGTTCTGGTTGCAGTTCCGCCAAAGAATGGTGGTGTCCGCCCCCCCACCTTGTGCCCTTGCTAGTAGTTAAAGTGGAGGAATATGGTGGGGTTGGAAAAAAGATAAATGTTCAGTGGGTTGTTAGGGGTAAAGCATTATATGTTTGGGTTGTGTTGAGTTTAATTTTTAGTGTATTTTTGTTTGTTTGTTGGGGGAATGGGTTGCACATGGGGCCTGTTAGGAGGAGAGACTTTGAACTGAAAAGGGCAAGAGAATAAGACTAGCCACTTTAAGCGTGAAAGGCCTGGGATCAATAGTGAAAAGAAGAAGAATAGAAACATTATTGAAAAAAAAATAAGGTGGACATTGCCTTTTTGCAAGAGACTCATCATTCAGAAGATAGAGTCAACGAACTTAAGATGAATAATATAGACATTTATGAAAAAAACTTGCTCTCAACCTGGGTTCTTCTCTTGTGAGAATAGAGGTTTACCCCTGGAAGCAGCCATTTATACATTGAGAATCGAAGGCTTATAACAGCCTTTCAGCCTTTCTCACATTGGTCACCCAAAACAAGTGCTTTATTAAATGAATGTTACAATCTAAGCCAGGTACTGTAGTAGGTTCTCAGATATTAGATTTGTATGCATTTGGAAGCCAAGGAAGGAGCAAATGGAAACTGCAGTATGGAGAAGAGTGATAAAAATATATGAGGGTAGCTTGTGCATATATATGCACACCATTAGAAGAACTTTATTAAGGCCCATCTGGTGTTTTCCCTGTGTCCTTCTCCCTGCCTCCTCCTCCATCTTTACTCCCAATCGCTTTCCCCTTTTCTTTCTTTATTCAGACTTCCTTTCTTATCTGATTAAGTACCTGATCCATTGTTTGAAGCTGGTCGTGGTCATTGATAAAATCATACTAGATTTAATAAAAAGAAACACTGCTCAGATGTGGGACATGTAGAAGCTTTAGAGCTGCTAAAGAAATATAAAGAAATGAAATCTGGGTCAGATTTGGAAAATCTGCTGGTTTAGAAGCATTAGACAATTGTGTGTGGGGGGGATGCAAGAATGGGATTGCTAGCCCTCTACTGTGTTTGTATTGGCTCTCCTAACTGCCTTGCAGTGAGGGATCCTTTCTGTTGTAAATTAGGCAAGGCGGGATGACAGCTGAAAGTACCATCACAAGATTGAGATTGAGTGACTCACAATTTAGAAGCATTGTAGAAGAGATTGGTAACACACACCCCATGGATTGCATGCCTTCCCCAGCCATTTGTGTTGCCCCCTGGGTTTCTATTGTTGTTGCTATTACTGCTGAATTTACTTCTTGGTCAGAGAAGGAAAATCAGTTTACTTAGAACCTTGCTGAAAGTCTATTAGAAGATGGTCAAGTCTGTTTCTAAACAAGGTGCAGGGATCCTGTGCCTTATTTTAAGTGAAGTACAATGTGATTTAGCATCACAGCTACAGCTACAGCCTGTCAAACTTAGATCAAACTTAGA